TGGGGGTAGATGCAATTGGGCAATGTGGAGGTTTGGCTCCGCTATGGAGAAACGGCGTAAACCTCAAGGTAATTACTGCAAATTAAAATTTCATCCACACTTAAATCACTAACACAACGAGTGAGAGCTAGTTTTATACTTTCTGCTATGGCCCTCCCCACAAAAAAAGATAAACCTCTCTTCTTTGATCAATGGACGCAAATAGCTTCAATACGTCAAGGGCCGTGGTTATGCATAAGTGACCTAAATTTGATTTTCCGCAAGGATGAAAAACTAGGAGGTAAGATTGTAAGCATTGGGTTTTGCAGTGAAATGTGAATTTGGTTAGGAGTTTAGGTATATCTGATATTAAAAGTGTTGGTCCATGGTTCACTTAGTGTAATAAAAGGGAGTCCCATGACATGGATTTTGAAGTTCTAGAAAAAGGGATGGGTAACAATGAATGGAAAGTTGTGTTCCCTGATGCATGTATTTACCACCTGTTCATGGGAGGCTCGGAACATCTGCCAATTCTCCTAAATACTAACCCTGGTTTGGGGAGAAGACGAAGACCCTTTAGGTTTGAGGAGATGTGGATTACCCACAAAGATTGTGAAAGGGTAATTGAGGAGTCTTGGAATAAGACCTCTAGAGGTCAAAATCAACATGCTTTGAGAAYAAAAAATATGAGGCTCAGAGCTGAATTGAAGAAATGGAACAAGAATGGATTTCTTAGCATAAAGATTTAAGAAGCAAAATCAAACCTAGAAAGAGCCTTGCATGCCATTGTAGCTAGTTTCTCTATTGAGAAAGTTAAACATTGTGAGCAAATCCTATATAAGTGGTTGAAGTGATAAGAGATTCATTGGGCTCAAAAATCTAGGTGTAATTGGCTAAAGTGGGGTGATCAAAATACAAAGTCTTTCCATCAATCTACTTTGAACAGGAGATCAAGGAATGAAATTTTGAGAATTAAAAATAATCAAGGAAATTGGGATGAGGATGATAGAAAAATTGAGATGGTTTTTAAGGATCATTTTTAGAATTTATTTAGCACTTCAGACCCCACAAATATGGAAGCAACCTTAGATCATGTTAAAATAGTAATAGCTGAAGAGGGTGCTAGAGACCTAGAAAGGAATGTTTCTGATGAGGAGATCTATGAGGCATTGTTCTAAATGAACCCAAGAAAGGCCCCTAGGCCGGATGGGTTCTCTAATATGTTTTTTTCAAAAATATTGGCATGTAGTTGGAGGGGATGTTAAAGCATCAGTGAAAAGTTTCTTTAGAAATGGGGTTATCCATAAAGATATGAACTCAACTTTCATAACCCTTATTCAGAAGGTAAACCACCCAGAGGAACCTAGTTACTTCAAACCAATCAGTCTTTGCAATACTGTGTACAAGGTTGTTGTAAAAATCGTTGCCGATAGGATGAAAAAAATCCTTCCCTCAGTGATCTCACATAATCAGAGTGATTTCCTAGAAGGGAGATTTATTGGGGACAACATATTGATAGCCCATGAGATTTTTCACTTTATTAGGAAAACAAAGGCTAKGAAAGGTTATATGGCCATTAAGTTGGATATAAGTAAAACCTGTGATAGAATAGAGTGGCTTTTCTTGAGGAAAGTTTTAGAAAAAATTGGGTTTGGGGGGTTAAGTGGGTCATGGAGTGTGTGGCATCGGTGTCCTATCAGATCTTGATAAATGGAGCTCCAAGTAGAAAATTCTACCATTTGAGAGGGCTAAGACAAGGGGATCCAATGTCCCCTTTTCTATTCCTCTTATGTCTTTTCGAGCATTTTATGATTTAGTCGAAGGTAGATTGATTTCTGGAATCAAGGTGAGTCATGGAGGCCCGATCATCTCTCACTTGTTTTTTGTAGATGATAGTTTCATTTTCTTAAAGGCAGATTTAGATGAAGGCTAGAAAATTATGGAGGCCATTAAACTCTATGAATAAGCCTTAGGCCAACAGGTGAATCTTAGCAAATCTGAAATTTCTTTTAGCTCTAATCTACACTCTAAATTAGAGAAAATCATAGCTAAGAGCATGCATTTAAAAAAAGTTGAGAAACCCTTAACATATCTTGGGCTCCCCTCTCATTTTTCCAGATCTAATTCAAGGATGTTCGAGTATCCTGTGGACAAAGTGGATAGGAAGGCCTCAAACTAGAAAATGTAAGTTACTGAACCAAGCAGGTAACGAGGTGMTTATATAAAATCAGTTTTGAATGCCTTACTAGCTTATAATATGTCATGCTTTCTCTTACCCAAAAACATATCAAAGGATATAAAGAAATCACAAAGAAACTTCTGGTGGGGTAAAAGTAACAACTCAAAAGGCATACATTCGTTTAGTTGGAATCAAATTAGTAAAAATGAGTTGGATTGTGGTTTGGGGTTCAGGGACCCAACTTGTTTTAACAAGGCACTCTTAGCTAAACTAGCTTAGATGTTAGCATGTAATGATAACAATCTTTGGGCTCAGGTTTTGAGAGCCAAGTATGTGATGCATAGGTCATTCCTAAATGCCAAATTGCCCCAAATGGTTAATGGGGTTGGAGGAGTTTGCTGGAAGGAAAGGAAGTCATCTCCAAAGGTGTTTGTTGGTTGGTGGGATTGGGAAGGAGAATTTCCATTTGGGAGGACCCGTGGGTCCCTGGTTTGCCTCGCTTTAGAATCTATGGGCCCAGACCTATAATTCTTGGAGTATCCTTAGTGGCAGACCTAATGGACCAAGGATCCAGAACCTGGAATATCGAGCTGATAAACTCACTCTTCATTCYCGAAATAGCTAGCCAAATTCTTAGCATTCGGATTCCTTTGGTTGAGCAAGGAGATAGACTGATTTGGAGTCTAAACAAAAGGGTCACTTTAATGTAAAATAAGCCTATTTTGTCATGAAGAATGCAGATTTTAACTCTTGCCCAACTAAAGAGAATGATAGATGTCTCTAGAAATCTACTAGTCATTGGCAGTTCCTCCGAAACTCAAAACTTTCCTCTATAAATGTTGCATTAAAGCCATTGCAGTAAATTCAAACTCGTTCAAAAGGAAAGTTGTAGGTTCCCCTTTATGCTCTATTTGTCTAAAAGAGGAAGAAATTGTATTGCGTGCTATCTGTAGGTGTGACTGTGCAAGCAGGTGATGGATTATGTCTCCCTTGGGTCTTGTTTTTTACAATGTAGATGCAAATGCAAGTTTTAAGGATTGGCTTACTAGATGAGTCAGAGTTTGTAGTGGGTAAAAGGATAAAAAAGAGRAGTTGCTATCTCTAACAACTTCTCTGATTTGGTGTATATGGCTACATAGAAATGATKWTATTTTTAATGATGAGTCTAATATTGATTATTGCTTGGTGATTAAAAGGGTTGTGATGCTAGCCAAGGAGTTTCAAGGTCAAGTAGCTTCATCACCACCAACACTGCCCTGTTTTGAAGGTGGTGAAGTTGCTGAGTCTCGCTGTACTCCCCTCACCAGGTTGGATAAAGATTAATGTAGACAGAGCTTCTGTAGCTGAATCTACTCTGTTTGTGACTGGAGCTGTTGTAAGGGATAGTTTTGATACCTGTTTATTTGTCAACTCAGTTTGTTTAAAGGCAGRTTTTGCTGTTTTTACTAAAGATCTTGCAGTGTTAAATGGTTTACTCCTAGCCTTTGAGCTAGGATTATCCCAAATCATCATAGAAAGTGAATGTAAACTTGTTGTGGAATGTTTGACTTTTGCTGGTGTTGATTGTGTTTCTGAAATCTCTATTGTTATTCAAGACTGTCTTCATTTTGCAAGATCTATATCATACCGTTTTGTCTCTCTGGCCTGATCCAAAAGGATTTAATCCCTCCTTAGCGTCCTTTGTTTCTTGTTTTCTGTTGTTTTTTCTTTTCTTTCTCTTTCTTGTTGTTTTGTTTTTGTTCCTAGTTTGTCTTCCTCTTTTGTTCTGGTCTTGTTTATTGATATCAAATTTCTACAAAAATAAATTGAGCTCACTATATTGATTAGATTTTAACTCGCTAAATTGAGTATTTCCTCTAGGTTGTGTTTGGAAATGATGCAAATAAGTGTGAATGTAAATATGCAGAGTGTAAAACGGTTTATATAAATTACAAAGTTGGGTTAGTTTTGCACCGTCAAATTTACYTTYTTACCAAACGGACTTTTAGYTGTAATGGATACAAGCACGAATTCCAATAAAATATATGCCTTTTTTTATCCAAAGCCCACTTGAATGCAAATTCACTTCTTTTTTATTGATGTAAATATGCATTAAAAAACATGTTTTTTGTCATTTGTCAATGCATGAATACATTGTTGTTAAACACAATCAAAACTGAACGTGCAAATTTATCCTAAACCGGGATTTACACTCCATTTACATCATTTCCAAACACAACTTTACTCTTCATTTTCACACGTGCGTGCAGATTTTTTACGTTAATTCCTTGCGAAGTTACGAAGAAATTGATTTCATTGGTGCAAGTTGATTCATACATAATACATCTAGAAATTTTTATTCAAGCGACTGTCATAAGCCCGTCTAGCTCAGCCGGTAGAGCGCAAGGCTCTTAACCTTGTGGTCGTGGGTTCGAGCCCCACGGTGGGCGTTTTTTATTATTATTTGTTTATTTGGTTTTACTCCTTTAGAAGGATGTGTGGATGGATTTACTTAAAACCAGAGCCAGATGGCAAGCGACAGCCAGCCAATCTGCGTAGACTCGTTTTTAACACATGGCTGTTTTTCAGTTGACAACCCCTTTTCATTTTAACGGTTGAAACTTGAAACTATGTCATTGATACAATACACCGGCTCTGCACAACCAATGCTCCATAACTTAACCATTGGATTAGAATCTTCTTTTACGCAGCCTCTGAACGCATAGAAACCTTTTGGCTTTTATTCCAATCTGATGGACCTTGGATAGAGTTGACGGCTCTCCCAGTCTCCCATCCCATCCGACTGCAATCCTGAATCTGTCCAGTATATCAAGAACGCTTCTCCTACAAAAACTCGGTTTCCCAATTTACTCTATTTGATTGAAACAAGCTCGTCGGTCGTCTCATATAAAGGTCGCGGGTCCATTTCGTCTTTCTAAACTAAATAAATATCTCTTCGTTTTCTTTGGCATCGCGTGTCCGATCACCGGAAAAGATGATTCCGGTGGCCGGAAGTTGCAGGGTGGAAGCGAACTCTGTTATAGCTTTGCAGTGATATTGGATTTCATGGATTCTCCCGAGATCTCTCAGGCAGCCGGGAAAGGTTCCTACCACCTTCTGCTGCGTTGCTCCTTTGCTCTCCTTTTCTCTGTCGTCGCGACGTTTTTCTTATCCTTCGTCGCCGGGTTCGTCGTTATCTTGGTTGGAAATTTGTCAATTTCTAGTCCGATTTCAGTGGCGGGGCAGTGCAAGATTGTCTCAAGTGGTATGTTTTCTGGTATTTTCTTCTTTCCCGTTGTTGAGTTGTATTGATCTTTTCTAATTCAGGGCTTGTTTGGTTCAGACCTTTTTTTTTTTTGGAGCTTAAATGTTTCTTCCCTATAAATTACTCGAAGGAGCTTACTGATTTGAATTCGAAAGTAGGGTTACTTCCTTAATCTATCAATATTTGGAAGCTTACATGCACCGGTTTCTGAGACTTTTAAACGAAATAATGCCTTAGCTTTATATACCTTTTTGGCCTTATTTTCTCTATTCTGGTTACTGGGTTATGACTGAAACTATGGAGTATGAACATTATAGAATAAATCACCAAATGAAGAAGGCAGGCACCTTACCTTATATGTTAAAGACTGGTGTAGGAAGATAGAAAAAGGATGAAACTTTTGTGGTTATATTTTCATGAATAGTTGTTGGAGTGTGTGAATTTTAAAGACTTCACCGTAACCTCACCTTAAAGGTTCAAGACTGGATAAGAGGATAAGAAAAGGTTACAGCTTTTGTAGTTATATGTGAATGCAAGGCCGTAGTGGAGTTGCTAAACTGTGTGAATTTTATGGATTTTTACTGCTCTGGTTGATTTCTTTTGTTTTGTTTGTTTTGCATTCATATGAAATTTGATTTCTGAAAATAAAACTGGTTCCATTTATCCATTGGGATCAGTTACTTTTTGAATTTAACAAGGAAAGAAGTATCTCAGACTGAAGCCCAAGGTTCAAAATATCATAACGTATTGTTGCATATCTTACGATGCATATTGGTTTTGAACCACCGAAATGCTAAATGAGGGGATTTAGGACATGTGGCCACTCTTGAAGGCTAATACTCTTCCTAGAGATGCCCTGATTCAATTCTTGAAACTCAAAACATTTTAACCTAAGATTATTTTCCCTTTGAATCACGCGATACACAACTTTTGTGTATCAAGCGAGTCAATACTCACCATGCTTAAGTCACTCTTTGATTTTGCAAACCAGGAGTTCTTGAGTTTTTTTATTTTTTTATTTTTTTTTATTTTTTAATGCTCTTCATCCTTCTTATTCTGATCATGTTCTCGTTTTGTTAGCTGAAATGACATGGTAGAGAGTTGGATTTGTCTGCCAGCTCTGTCAACTCCTAAACCATTAATGCTCTTGATCAACTGGAGGTTGATGAAATTGGTGTCCCTGTTCAACTATGAGTCTATGATGAATGTAAAGTAAATGGTATGAGTGGATCCCAAAGTTATGTAGCATAGAGAGACTGAAAGATCCTCTGTTCATGGCTTGAAGCTTCCTATAGGAGCATACTGGGAATTAGCCAGTTGGATCACATAACCACACACTTCAGTGACAACTGAGGACCCCAAAAAAAACCACACACTTGAGTCCTTGTCAACTGAGAGAAGATGATTTTGAAGTAGTGGTAGTAGGGAGGCAATTTTATCAACTTCCAGATCATGTATACGGCACTTCAATCATTTCAAATCATTTAGGTTATGCTGCAATCTAGAACTTCATACTGAAATTAATCTCAAAATTCCATGAGATTATGACACCAATCTGTTGTCTCATATAGTGCCGGGAAAACCTCATTAAGTGGTCTGTCAACCTACTAGGGATCTGTCTACCATTGAGCCATCTCTGATCTTGTGTCTTATAGTCTTATACCCTTTATAATTCTCTTTATATACATGTAATCATGCTGYTGATTGGCTTTTCAATGTAGGACTTTAACTGGCTAATCTGCTTGCTCTTTGAAATCTTGGAGATGGGTCCTTTTAATATCCTTTACACTGATATGCCTTGTCTACATAATTAAATAAAGCGATCCTTTTAACAGAAAGGAAAGAGAATATGTAAATGGTCTACTCTATTTAAATTTAGCTTGTGGTAAAAGTTCTGGACTAAATTTTAATGAGCTTACAAATCAAGCTATCATCTTGGAATGTCTTTCAAATTCGGGACTAGATAAAAGAATTGGTGGGCTTTGAAGAAAGCACAAAGCACTACCTTAGTGCTATCACATCCACTGCAATTCCTATCTCCATGCACCAGATTTAGCCAAACCATTGGTAACAATATTGGCAAGTCTATGTCTAATTGCTTAGAACTTAGTGTATATGTATTAAACTGGTCTTAAATCTTAATTTACTGTAGTTGGGACAAGTAGCAGCACTGACAACGTTGGTGCTTGCACAATAGAGATAAGCGAGCTAAGTTTGTTTTCTATTGAAGGGAGAAACATGCAGTTGTTATGGATTTGGTATCTCCATAGCCCAACTAAGGTTGGCTTTTCATGTGGATGGCCTATCTTAATAAAATCATGATAAATGTCTACCTTACCTCAAGGGGTTGAGACATTAGAAATGTTTGCATGCCTGTCAAGCCTCCTAGAATCAGTGTCCATCTCTTGATTATTCTAGCTTCTTGAGTCAGGTTTTGAAGCATGCTTTTAAGTAATTCAGAATGCAATGAGCTGTACTGGTCACTTGTTGAGCTTGATTGATTCTTTGCAAGGGGTGCAGCAAACAAGGTCATATCTGATTCTTAGTGAGGGTACACAGCAAACAAGGTCATATCTATATCCTATGAAACTTGACCCTGTTTACAATATGCTGGTTTTATACAGACAGAAAGGAACTTATGAACAACCAATTTTTAATGGGAAGGTTGAACGGTTTTTCTAGTGTTTGGAAAGACAGGAAATGCAACATTAATTGGGGTTTCAGCAAATTTTGGAAGAATGAATTTCTACACTTTTTTTTTGTCATGATTATGAAAATATAGGTGATGTTTGGTACTGTGGACGTTTCTACTTGAAATGCTGCCACATCAGCACCACCTATGTGTTTTGAGTTCAAACATCATTTTTCTGCTTGATTGTGACTGTTTTGGTTTTAAAACAGTCATAAAACGTTTCTATTAGAAACCTGAACTGGGGGGTGTTGGGTAAATATCAAATTAACATTTATTCCATCAGCTGCCCATTTGAAGAAATAGTCCAATGACCTGGCTATTAGTTGGTGTCCTATGTGGCAGTGTAAGATACTTCTGGTTCATCACATACTAGCAAAGATGAATATACACCATTAAATACCCATAAACCCTACCTCCAAAATAAAGGTTCTTTATTTGGTTTTATGCTTCTAGAACCATTAGATCTGCATCCAGATGTTAATCCATGTGTCATGTGTGATAATGAGCCAATCATCAGAAAACATTTATTTTTAAATTTGACCATTAGATGAGAATCAATATAGTAGGGCGGTCCACATTGAATATGAACATATAAATGTTTTAGGTAGCAATCCCAATACCAAACACACTATTGTTCAAAACACTTGTTCAACACCTAGTGAGCATAAGTACCAACAAAACAAGTTTCATGTCAAAATGCTAGAGGCTTTTTGACATGAAATGGCATTGCTTCTCTAAACGTTTGAGCCTGAAATGGCAATGGTGAAGAACCATTGCTCTTTCAAATGGAAAATTTAAAGATGCAAAAGCTAAAATTTCTGTATCCTTTTTATTTCTTCCTAATCTCTTACTTATTTCTTCATCTCTATTCATCATCGTTAATAATGAAATGTCTTACTTCATCCTCCAAAGCCTGCCATCAGATCTGAAAGATGTAGGTCCCTCTACCTCTCCTATGTCATTTTGGTATTAGAGTCAAACCTAGAGGTATCTTTGCAAAACTTGGAAGTATCAAACCAAGGCCTGGAGATGTGGGATATGTCACATGCTTGCTGAAAGCATTTAAATCTCAAATTCACAACAATATCTCTGCAATATGAGGAAAAAACAAGGTAAATGTGAAGATGTATGGTCAGAGTGTCAAAAGGAAGCTGCCCTTTGTAAAGCATAAAAAATCCTCATTTCTGAATTTGTATGTAAGAAGAAGTTCTAGAAAAAGGAAATATCAGTTGTAGAGATATCTATTATTGAAGCAATAAAGCATCTTTTTAAGCCTATGGAAGAAGCTCCCAAGGAGATGGGCTAAGTATTCAAGGGAACAACTTCAACATGAATCTAGTGACAAGCTGCTAATTGGTTTCTCTGTGGTTTTATTGCAGATCAGGATGATGTTAAACACATTTGGATGGTGATCTCTATTTCTGAAACCTTGAGACTTTTGGCAGAATTCTTCAAAATCAAATTTCATCCTGCATATGATGACGAATGTTGGCTCCTATGTTCAAGTCTTGGATCTACAATTCATTATTCCTCACTTCAAAACTCAAGGACGTTTTTTTTTTTTAACTGTGGAAGAATGATGCAGACATGGAAAGGAAATCAAGTTTCTTCAAATTCCTATACTAGAGGCAATTTCATAGTATTGGGTTATCATAATTACTTTRGGATTTAAAGCCCTTATTTAATTATTCCTACTGTGTTACCTATAAGTTTATAAGAAATTAGATGTTGTTTTGGGCCAATTTCTCTGTTAAGTTTGGAGTCTGTAATGGGAGCTCTGTGCCCTAATGTTGGGTCCATAAATAGAGTCATTGTATTTGAAGTTTAGAAGAATTTATTTGATGAACAAAAGTTGTTGTTTATTTGTTTGATGACATGGTGATGAAGCCAAAGAAGGATTAAATGCAAATTTAGATTTGTTTAGAAACAAGAGGTTTTAAAATAAGTAGGACTAAAACAGAATATTTGTGAATTTAAATTTAACAATAATAGAGTGAAAAGCAATGTACACTAAGGATTGGAGATCAAGAGGCATCTTCCATTATCTTGGTTTGATAATCCATAACAAGGGATAGAGTGAAGAGAATGTCACTCATAGAACCAGAGCAGAACGAGCAAAATAGAGGGGTGTGTTCTACCAAAAAGGCATGTGTTGAAAGTAGTGAGAAATGATTTAAGGGCAAATAATTTGACAATAGAGTGGCTCTGAAGTCTGAACAGAATGGAATAGTGGAACAAACGTCATGTAGCCAACCCCACATAGTTGTGACAAGGTTTAGATGATGATGATGGAAAATGAGAACCCTTGCACTCCAAAATGTTGGACTGCAACAGACTAGTGCAAGCAGCACATCCTTGAGTTACTTCAAATCACTGGCCAGTATGCTTGTTTCAGAGATCCAATGATGGAGGTCCAATTCCCTTTAGATATGTGGCTTACCCATCTGGAATTGAAGGAAAAGGTTAAGGAGTGGCGGGATACCCACATACCACAACCTATTTGGGAAAGTTAGAAATTTCTGACGAAGCTGCAGATCTTGAAGGGAGAAATTAAAGAATGGAATAAAGTTAAGTTTGGGAGATTGGAAGATAAAAAAGGCAATATTGTTTCGCAAATTGAGGAGATTGACAAGAAGGAGATGCAAAGTGTATTAGATGATCATGATAGGGAGAGGAGATGGTCTCTAAAAAAGGAGCTAGATATTACTTTATTGAGAGAGGAGATCAAGTTGTTGCAATGTATTCGGGGCATACTGGCAGTGTTGGAAGGAATTAAAATAGCATGGCAGCTGAATATCAATAAACTGGTGGTGGAAGGTGACTCAAGTCTGGTTATTGGGTGGCTGCAGAAGGAAGACTTCAGTTTGTGGAAATACTTAAATGAGAAAAAGAAAATTAAACATTTGACTCAAAATATGGAAGTTCAGTTTCAGTGGACTAAAAGGTGTGCTAATTCCCTGACAGATTCTTTGGCTAAGCAAGGGGTGGGAAGAACTTTTCTTTTCTGGGAAGCTTTGTAATATGAAGTAAACTTTTAGGGAGGGTTAAGAGATTTTACCCCTCCCTCCCGTTGTATCCTCCATTTTAATCTTTCTATTAATAAAAGTTTTCTGTTTTATATATATATATATATATATATATATATATATAATAGGCCAATCAATGAGAGGTGGTTATTGGATAGGCTTGAGTGGGATCTTTTGGAAGAAAATCAATTGGAGTTTTTGGAGAAAAGGTTTGAGGAGGTTGAAATTAAGGAAACAGTTTTCTCCATGGATAGATCTAAGGCTCCTAGGCCTGATGGATTTACAATGGCTTTTTATCAAGATTGTTGCGAGATAATTAAAGATGATTTGATTAAAGTTTTTAGGGAATTCCACAATAGGGGAGTAATCAGCTTGGGAATGAATTCAACCTTCTTAGCCTTGATACCAAAGAAGAAAGATGCCACCCAACCAGGGGACTTCCAGACCTATAAGCCTAGTGACTAGTATCTACAAGATAATTTCCAAGGTACTTTCTCTAAGACTTAAAAAGGTCCTCCCCCCTCTTATATCCCAGTTCCAAGGGGCTTTATCCAGGACACACAGATAGTTTTCGGATTGTAATTGCAAATGAGTGTGTGAAGGCTCAAATAAGGTTGAAGATGAAGGAAATAGCAATCAAGTTGTATTTGGAGAAAGCTTACGATTTAGTGGACTGGGATTTCTTGATCAATATTATGAGGAGGTGTTGCTTTGGGGTTTTATGGTGTAAATGGACCAGAGGTTGCTTGCAAACAAGCCACTTCTTTGTTATAGTTAATGGGTTGGCAGTTGATTTCCTTGAGGGGCTTCGAGGTCTTAGACAAGGTGATCCACTCTCTCCCTTTCTATTCACTTTGATAGCTGAGGTTTTAAGTAAGCTAGTCTCTAAGGCTAACTCTATGGAGATGTTTAAGGGTTGGGTAATAGGAAGAAATAGAGTTTTGGTCTCCCAGTTCCAATTTGCAGATGATATCTTGGTTTTTTGTGATGGGAAGGCAGAGAAGGGGCAGAAATTTTGAAGTTGGTAGTGAAGCTCTTTGAGAGGATTCCCAATTTGAGAATCAACTGGTTTAAAAGTCTATTGGCTGTTATCAACTTGGAGGATGATGATCTGAGAGCAATGGCAGACTCGTTGGGTTGTGAGAAAGGGAATTGGCCTCTGTGTTACTTAGGATTACCCCTTGGTGGCAACCCTAGATCAGGTAGTTTTTGGACCCTAGTAGTGGAGACTGGAGAGGTTTGAGAAAAGGCTAGCAAGCTGGAAAAGGAATTATATTTTGATGGGAGGGAGAATAACATTGATCGAATCCTACTCATTGACACATATGCTTGACACCCACACCAAGGTCCATGTATGTTTGTAACATGGGTGTAAAGGCTTGCTGAACTTATACATAAATACTCTCTCTAGAGCAATATATAACTAACAAGAAGCTCATACAATTTGTGGACCTAGGTGAAGATATCAGAACCACCATATAATGGAAGACTTTTTTTTTGTGGGGGGATGTTTTTTAATAAAACATTAGTCTTGTTAATTAACTTGAAAAAAATAAGAATGCCATGTCATGTTTGTTTTGGATCAATAATGCTGTGTCATGGTTTTTCTACATGAAGTCACCGTTAACATATAGACACAATAAATACCTTACCTAAAGACTCAAGCAGCCACCAGCCACTAATCATACTGGATGCAACTTCTATTTTATTTCAGTTAGGTTACTGTTCCATATTTGACATAAACTTTTTGCTAGTTTTCTGGTCTCTTTGTTTGGGTTTTGTCTTATCTGGGATGCATAAAACAGAACCAGAGAAAAAGAATAATTAAAAAAATTACTTAGCCTAGTCTTTAAACTTTTACCTAACCCCATGCTGATAGAAAAAAAAAAGAAAAGAAAAGAAAAGTTTTACTTAACTCCTTCAATTAGACCCATTACCTAATGCTGGTCATGGCTCTCAAGGGTCTTAGGAAGGGTTTTGATGTTGGACAAGGTAGGGGTCCTACAGATTTCAAATCTGGTTATGGTCTTTGTGGGGTGATAAAGGGAGATTTGGGTGATAAATGATGAATAATAGAGATGGAGAAGCAAGTAGACAGTTTTCTGTCCACCAAAGAAAGAGTAATTAGATTTGAAAGGGGAAGATTCAAACTGTTATAGAAACCAACAATGAGATGGGTTGCTTAGAAGAAATAAGCGAGAATGTTTTTTATTTATAGACTCACTATGCGAACTAGAATGTTTCTTTACAGACTCCAATTTGGACTAGGAAACTGATCCAAAAGAACTTATACTTGTTTTATAATTAGGACAAATCCATGGGGAATCCGTAGGACACTCAAATAAGGACTTTAACTCCTAAACTTATTAAAAAAAAGCACTTCAACTCCTAAAAAACTCCAATAACACTTAATCAATCCTAATGAAACTTTTTTTTTTATCAGCAACACAAAAAGATCATTAGATTATCAGAATGTGTACAACAAGAAGTTGTGGGTAGACATAAAGTCCACCTAAACCCAACTAATTACAATACAGACCCAAGCTTACCCAACAAAGAAATTCATTAGTTACAAACAAGCCCCAAAAGGACCCAAGGGATATCCCACTAGCTACAACATAGCCCAGAACATAGATTGCCTTTGGACTCCTTGCTTAGCTAGATCATCAGCTATGCTATTAGCTGACCTCTTAATCCATCTTGTGTGAATTTCCATATCTTTAGAAGCCTGCTTAAAGCACCTGAACTCATTTCTTAATCTCCAGATTGCTCCTTCCTCTTTTTCCAGCCAGTTTACAATGACTTTCGAGTCCCCTTCAATAATCAACCTGTTAATCTCCAACTCTTTAGCTTTCTCAACACCAAACACTGCTGCCTTCAATCTTAATGAAACTTATTTAATGTAAAGAAACCAGAAATTACTAAAAATAGTAAGTTATTGTGTTACTATAAATATTAATTACAGGAATTACTATAAATTGTAAGTTCAGAAATTATTGATAAAAAAAAAATTGTAAGTTCAGAAATTAGTATAAACAGTGTTGCATGGACATGGATGTAGGAATTGGAATCTGATGCATGTCCAAGAGTCTGACTTGGAAAGATGAGAAAACATGGATTCCTGGACACATCTATGGACAAGTATATACTTTAACGCAATGAATATTTTTTGAATTCTATGGAGAGGACACAGCTCGTGCCACTTCATGGGAAGCTTGTAACTGAACCACTCATTCTATTAATGAAATTGTAATTTATTTATCAAAAAAATGTTGCCTTTATTACTAAGTGACATTTGATATGAAAACTAGCATTTATCTTGTATATTAGCTGTTCATTTATGTCAAATAAGGCTAGTAGATAAAAAGGAAATGCTGCATAGAAGTGTCCTCAAGAGTCCATGAAATGCCAGACTCAACACATGTCCAACATGGACACGCCATCCATTTAGGAGAGTCCATGCAATAGTAACCATACATAGTGATTTCAAAATAACAGTAAATTTCTAGAGAACTTAAAATACCATTCCTAAGACACCTATAACTAGAAAATAAATTTAAAAAATCAAAATACCAATATCTCTATCACTCAGAAATTTTGAAATTGGTGTAGGAATTTAAAAACTGATTTATTTCTCCATTGATTCTTTCCTTGCTTCTGTATCTGTGTCAGGTTGATTGGATACAGACCTAACCTTTGGTATTTTTTTTTGCATAGTGTCTGCTCTCAGAATTAAACCTATGTTCTCGTGCTTGCCAGTTGAGGTTTTACCATTGCACAAAGCAATGGCCCCTAGGATACATGAATTATATTGAAGTTAATATGATGGGTACTTAAATATATGTTTCTCAATTCTCACCCAACAAATCATGCAATAACATGTGTTTTCTTTATTGTTCTTTCTTCCATGCTTTCTAGGAAAGAGAATTGAATTATTACATGGACATATTGTATTTCTTGCAGGTGTTGATCTGAGGTCATCCAAGGTTTGCGAACTTGGGTTGTTGAATTACAATGCCAAGCATGTCTTTTATCCCTTAGAAAGAAGAAAGTTTCGATGCCATTATGATTACTATTGGGCTTCAGTTTTCAAGGTGATATTGATATTTTATTTCATTATCTTTGACTGATTGAATAGAAGAATTTATTAAGATGGGAAAAAGAGCATGCAAAATCAAGAAATCCTTTATAGAAAATGGACATTAACATTTTATTTAGTTCAAATTTATAGTTTGTATCCTTYGCTAAATTCTCAAAATTGGTTTAGAAGAAATTTCCATGACCTATGGCAGTTCCAAAATTGAATAGACGTTAAATTTGTACATGAGGCTCTGTTTGTTTGCAGTGCAAATCTGAACCAGATACAAATTTTGCACTCAGTTTAGTTTTGCATTTTTTTGTTTGTGACTATGACTTGAACTCCTACCTGACACAAAATTTGTACTTTTTGTCTCATTTCCACTCACTGGCAGTGCGAATTTTGCATCCCAAGAACTGATGCAAAACTGCACCACCTTCCTCCTACATAAATTCTTGCTCATTTAAAGTGAGGACCACATCATGTTACTTCTTACCTCCCAAACAAGTAACCCTCCTCCTACCTCCATTTTCTTTCACAGAAGATGGGGAACACATAATTTTACTTCCTATTTTACCTTTCACAAACGAATAATATAAAGTAAACCAGAATTTACACTGAGCTTATCTGTACTCTCCCATGCATTTATGCTAATGCAAATGGAGTTTTCACTGCAACCAAACTGAGCCTAATTGACGAGTCTCTATTGCATCTTTCATATTTATTTGAAGTCAATGCACCTCTACCTGGTTGCAAAGATAATAATACTCTATGAATGGTGAAAAAGATAATAATAAATCCACTTATGTAAATAATAACACTTAAGAACTAAAACAGTAAAATACCAGRAATATCCCCATGTCTGAACACTCTCTCCCTCAAGTTGGAGCTGAGATATCAATCGTGCTTAACTTGTTATCTCTAACAAACAATCTTGAAAAATGCCTTTAGTAAAGATGTTGATTAATTGTAGCTGTATATGGGGTACAAAACCAAAGGAACTAGTTTTTCCTTGATGAAATGGTGATCAACCTCTATATGTTTTGTTCAATTATGATGAATAGGATTGTGAACAATGCTGATTACGGCCCTAGATATGAACTTTATGAGCAATAATTTCAACCGATAGTAGGTTACAAACTTCATAACCCATCGATTTGGACTTTGCTCTAGCACTAGATTGGGTGACCATAGATTGTTTTTCACTCTTCCAAGTAACTAGGCTACTTTCTAAAATGCAGTAACTAGAGGTTGACCTATGATCTATGAAAGAGCCTACCTAGTCTACATCTGTATATGCTTCAATACACAAATGCCCATGGTTGGTAAACAAAATCTGTTTCCTAGATGAAGACTTAAAAAATCCTATGAACTATTTCCAGATCTATTTTCCTAGGTTAGTACATGAATTGACGTACCACATTCATAACTAGTGCTTAGGAAACTGGACTGGACCAGCCAGTTGGAATGGTTGAACCCTGACCAGTTTGGTTGCACCCCAAGAACAGGAATTGCTAAAAACCTGATGAAAACTGGTTGACCAGCCAGTTTAACCAGAAAACCAATGAACCTACCAGTTTCATGAAACCACCCAAGTCATTAAATAATAGAAATTTCAAAACGCATGTGACAAGGGTTGAATCCATGACCTCCTATTATTATGTATTGCTTAATTACCATTATCCAATTCTTTATTTGTCCTAATTAATGACTCTCTATTGTATATATTACTTTATTAAACATGTATTTTAAAGAAAATGTAAACAAAGAGACTTGAACCCTGGTCATTTGCTTTAAAAATTAAGGAACTTGCTATCCATCCACCATATTTTAGTATGATAACATTTGTAAAATATATTATATATAGTAGTTATGTGACCCATATTATATATACGTATTTGCCACATTATGATGATTCGACCTTCGGTTTGATCCTGGTTGAACCTCTGACCCATGAACCTCTCTCATTTCTGGTTCTATGCACGCTCTGGTTCTTTGAAATTTGATACATAAATCAGATGTCCTGATCTTTGAAGCTGACCTTAATAAATAAGAGGTTATTCACATCGATCACCTATTGATGGTTTTTCTCAATAGGATTCAGCATTGCAGCTAGGCATCGAGATGAACTACAACTATTGACCCCACATTCACTTCTTAAATGTTTAAGTGATGCAACCATTCTAGTATGATAACCATCTGGTTCATGTAGCAATGGTTTGATTGGTGATCCATTCTTCTGTTTAGACTTTCTATTTAAATTTGATTTGTTTGAAGAAGAAAAATGTTTTGAATACAATGTTAATAGTGAAACCAAGAACAGTAGGTAATGGTGGTCTGAAGGAGTTGATGGTAAGGTTTTGGATCTGTGCCCTCAGGTGTAATCTCCATGGGGTGGAGGTGTGAATGTTCATGGATCCAATGGAAAGGTGGAGTGGAGATCAAGAATGGGGCAGTAGGTAATGGTGGTCTGAAGGAGTTGATGGTAAGGTTTTGGATGTGCCCTCAGGTGTTATCTTCATTGGGTGGAGGTGTGAACCTTCATGGATCCAATGGATAGGTGGAGTGGAGAGCAAGGATGGGGCAGATGGTTCAAGGAGAAACCAGAAGGGGATGGTTGAATGTAATGGGGATAACCAAGTGAAGTTTCAAGGAAGTGAGGAATGGAGTTATGACTACAAGATGGAACATGCCGGGTGAGAGAAGGGGATAAGGCATTCTACTTGGTTTTGGTTGGGGAAGGAGACAATGCAAGAATGGCTCATCTGCGGCAGTGCCTGGTTATGGAAGTTTGAGGGGGACTGGTCAACATCTTTGGCAGGGGTTGCTTCAAAGTTAAAGAAAATATGACAGTTAATACTCTTACTGGAAGTTAGACGGATGCTGAACAACTTGTTGCTAGTCGTGTTGCTAACAGAGAGGTCAGCCTAGTAGTTTGTCAATGGCATCAAGTCTGGGTGGTGGGCATACACTTTGGATAGACAGGTGGTATCTCAAGGTTTGAACACAATGAAGGATGACCAGAAGGTGATGACTTGTTGCTGTTGGATAAGGGTGTTTGGGCTCCTAATGTACCTATTAAGTGGGGAATTCATAAAGATGATTGGAAAAGTTTGTAGTGGATTTATCTGTGTTGATGACTCGAAGCAGGAGGAGAGTGTGCATGGAAGTCCAATAGTGAGGCTCTTTTTCRTCAATGGTAAATGTGGTTCCAAACGTCCTGAGAGGCTGGTGTTAGAACAATGAGGACCTGTGGGTGACATTCCTTGGATAATCCAACAGAGAGGAAATGGTGTTGAACTGTTGATAGGTTGTGGTTTAAAGCAACATTGCAGAATCCTATTGGTTTCACTGACTGCCATGTCATTGTGCCACTGGCACAGCATTGAGTTGATGAAGGGGGTGAAACAGCATGAGCTAAAGAATTGGGGAACAGTGGCTGCAGAGAGGAGAATTGCAGGGGTTGGAGGCTAAATTCCTAGCTGCTAGAAGGAATACCTTGCTATGTTGGATGAGATCTACCAATGTCCTAGCTGATTATTTAGGCTAGATGTGAGGTAAGTAGAAGCAAGTTGCATTGTGGCACTGCTTTACCTAAGTACGAGCTTTATTTATTATTGGGTGTTACAGTCTATGGTGTCTCATGTTAACTCTGCCTGCTTGGGGTGAAATCAAAATTGTTGAATTTTCCTTTCTCCTGTTATTAATTCTTGTAATATCTACCTCTTCTCTAAGGGGCCTGTCTGAGAAGCAAGTGTTTCCATTTAATCAGTTTCATGATCAAATGTTTTTTTTCCCATTATTGCGATTGATTTTGACAACTAAATCTTTGACCTCAGTTGATTTGTGCATTAAATAAACAAGCATCTTCATCCAAGTAAATAGTTGGTAAATTCCACAGCTTCACTTTGTCCCTTCTATCCAAGTTAATAGTCGGTAAATTCCACTCACCCACATTGTCCCTTCTATGCATATATAGTCAACACCTGACTGATTGTATACTCCTTGAATTTCCCTATAAGGCGTGTTTCTTTTTTAGTCTTTATTTATTTTTCCTGCAGACAGTCAACATTTTATTGAACTTTTTCTCTGATCTTCCTCCCTTTGCTGATGGACAGAATCATTATAGCCTCAGACAACTTCATCAGTGTTATGCTTAGAAAGTAAAGTTGGATCAGGTTTCGTAGTTTACATGGTTAATTTTACTAAACTGAGGGGGCATTTAATAATGGCTGAAGTGGCAGAACTGAATGACTTATTTTATGACTATTCTATCCACTAAAAGACAAAGCAACAAGTTGTCCTGTTCAGCCACTTAAGCCATTATCAAACTCTGACTATTTTCTGAAATCTGAACATGATTTTCAAACAATTGGTCACATTTTCCCTCCCTGCAGTCACTATCAAAAGCTCTCTTCTATAGAATTCATCTTACTGCTGTAATCCAGCCCTTTTCTTGTGCAGAAATCAAGTTTCTTCTGAATGTTCTTGATGAGTATCAGTGCTGGCTTATGATTGATTGCAGTAAGATGTTCATCCACACAAAAATAGAGAAGACCAGGGCATAAAAGATGCTGGCATCTCAACCCTGCCTCTTGGCCTGAAGGATAGGCAATCTATAAGCTACCTATTTACTCCTAGGATGAGTAGATTTTTGGGATTAATTCCCTGCAATTATGAGCATGAATTGGTCTTTCTGATGAGTGTTTGTGGGCTTATCTTTAATGATAGTCCAAGGCTTCCTGTAAATGAGGCAAAATCCCATGGATGATGATTCTTCATGTAACTCAGTGACAGAATATATTCTTTTGGGAAGTAACATTATTCTTGTCACTTCTTGCTTTAGGCTCTTATTGCCAAGGATTTATAGGTATTATCTATAATATCATTCTTATACTGGCTTTTGCCTGTTTAATCATTTGTTTGTGCACTATCCTTTCAAAGTTTTAATAGAGAAGGTAATTGGATTCAAGTAAAAATTTTAAGTAGTATACAAACAACTGATGATTTGTATTTGAGTAGTATACAAAAACTGGATTTAAGTAGTTGTCTGTACCATTGGACGTATTAAACAACTTGGATGTATTCTGGTCCAGAATACATCCAATGGTATAATGCTTGAATCCAAGTTGTTTAATACAAACAACTATATGGGGTCAGCTATATGCCTTATCCCAACCAAACCATTGGATGTTTTCTGGTATTTAAGTAGTATACAGACAACTGATGATTTGTATTAAAGTTTACTTTAATATTCTTATTTCAGGTGGAATACAAAGAACATTCTTCAGGTCAAACACGGCTTGCATTGGCAGAGGCTCCAAGGGAAGCTCTACCTCTTGATTGCAGGCCTAGTTTTGGCACTGCATGGTTGACCAAGGATAAGTTCAAGGTAGTTGTCTGTATTCTCCTGCAATGGTGTGTTTTGACATGAACTTCTTGAATATCAGATTTAGTAACTTTTCAACCCCATATAAAAAAGTTATGATTCCGGTAGGTTCTTGAGAACTGTAAACTAACAGCTTCTGTGCCACATAACTCTGATGCTCAAGTATCACTGCCACATGTCCAACAACAGCTTGGTATGTCAAATTACTGAAAGAAGCAATGTAGACAGAACCTTTCAAGTTCAAATGAATAAAGAAAAGCTGCTTATTTTTATTTTTATTTGCAAATTTCACACTGCAAAACAATTATTTTTTCTATGCAAAAGGACAAAAGTGGATCTGAACTATTGTTCTTTATATTGCCAGGTTTATATCATTTAAAATTTCATTTCTTAATATTTTAGGTACTGGTTGACCTAAAGATGTTCTCTTACTGTTGCTTGCTTTCTTTAGGTAAATGAAACTTATAACTGCTGGTATACACCTGGCTTTTCCAAAGTGGGCATTTATTCTGACAACCTCTTCAATTGTCAAACCAAAGATCCATCTATTGTTGAAATGATGAGAAGATCCTCCATCCTGTGAGTACATCCCATTTTAAATTCGATCTTTCCTTCTATTTTATTTATTTTCTTTCTGCATGTCCCCATATAGTTGAGATAATGCTTGGATGATGATGATGCTGATTTTTCTTTTCTGCATGTCCATCTTAGTGAAGAGCATGCTTGTTTTCAATGCAGATTCATGAGTTTCATAATGCCTAAACAGAAATTTCTCTTCAAGGAAAGACATAAATTATACCATGGATATYTCTCATACTGTATAAGGCTAGACCACTAGAAAATTAAATGTACTCATCAAGCTATTGTTCTTTGTTTAATAGTCTCTCAGGAAGAAATATAAAAGGAATTGCTTCATAGTCACATTACAAAGCTTGTCTTGATTCCAAACATCTGTATGTCTACCACTTGGTTGTGTTGAAGTTTGGTTGTAGGGTTGGGGTTGAAGTTTCAACACATTGAGTTCGGTTAGGATTGACATCAATCCAATCCAATCCAGTYCAAGTTGCAAACCTACCTATGTGACTTGCAAATTTTTGCACAGTAAAATACTCAAACATTTCATTTTTACCTGGACGATGCAATTACATTGGACCTTTCTTTATTGTTTTTTCTGTGTGTGTTTGTGTGTTGGGGGGGGGGGGGAGAGCAAAAATGGTGGTTCTATTGGAGGAAACCTGGACACTTGCGAAACACAAAAGGTTCTTTTTTCCTTATATCATACATACCATGAAATCTCTCTTTTTGATTGTAAGAGCATATTTCATTTATGTCGTTACCAAAACAGATGATATGGGAAACATATGCTCCAATGGTAATTTGACTAAATTCTGGCTCTTTTTGGACTGACAGCTTCACAACGATGGTATACTCCTCTTTTTCTGGCAAGGGAAGAGTTCGGCACATATACAGGGAAACATTAGCTGGACTTGTTGCTGGTGTGTTAACTTCCTTTATTAGTGTCATCTTAGTTAGACTCCTATATGGATTGAAATCCCGGCTGAGCAAAGGCTGGGAATCAAGGAAGCTTCATCTTGCTGTCTATGGGGTTCGCATAAAGCGAGCTTGTTTTCTGGTTGCATACTTCTCTTTTATGGGTTGGTTGACCATTCAATATGGAAAGATGCTTGGCTTCCCAAAAATGTTCATCAATTCTTAGTAGTATTTGTAACAGCACCAGTCTTGATACCAAAACGTTGAAATGCAAATTCCCTGAGAAAGTCTTCAGCTGTATTCTCCAAAATCTTCGCTTGTATGCTGCTTTTAGTGGGAAAGTAATACGCCCTTCAAGTTTTGTAGGAGGCATGGCCCCAAATCCCAATGCTTGTTTATGTTGAATTTTATAGTTCATGTAAGGCTCATTGTAATTATAGGACATGTCAAATGATTTAGAGGCCAAGGCTATTGATTATTGTTAGCTTTCTGAACTCACCTATCTTCTGCAATGTGTATGTTACCAACCCAGAATATGCCTACCTCGAATAGAACTAGATATCTGTTTGTTGCCGTTGCTTTAACAGTTAACACTCAAGGATGCTAGTTATGCTACTTTCACCCAAGACTATAGTATTGGTGTAATTAGGGGTGTGCATGGGCCAAGCTTGTCACGAGTTATTCGAGCTCATCTCAAAGACCGATTTAAACCGCGCTAAACTGTGCTTTGAGCCGAGTTCGAGCCTGATATATAGAYTTGTTTGCTAATTGAGACGAGTTCGAGCCTAGTGAAGTTAGGTTCGTGAGCCTAGTATAATTATAAATAATTTTTTATTATATATATACATACATATAAATAAATAAATATATATATATATATTTTTTTTTATATGCATAATAATAAATAATTTTTATAATTCTTAATTTTTTGCATGCAAAATAAAAAATATATTTATATATATATAATTTTTATTTTTTAGAAAAAACTTGGCTTGTAGTTGAGCTCGACCCGAGTGTGAACTTGCAAGCTTAGAACGGAGTCGAGTTTGAGCTCAAGTCTCTAGCTCGAATCGAGCTCGAGCTTGAGCCTAACGTTGTTTCAGCTAGGGGTGAGCAAAAAAAAAAAAAAAAAACGAAAAACCGAACTGAAAAATCGGTTAATTGAACTAGTCAGTTTGGTTTCGGTTCGGTGTTTTGAAGAAATCGAGGTACCGGCTTGGTTTCGGCTAACCAATTTAAAAAAAACCGGTAGTTAACTGAACTGATCGATATACATGCTATTCTATATATTTTTTATATATTTATGTATATTATATATATTATAGATTAATAAATTCGCATTATATATAAATGTATATATTTATGATATATTATATATTATTATTATTTAAAATATAATATTACATATATTTATAATTTTTATTATATATTTATATATTTTTATAATAAATATTATAAAGTAAAAAAAACTGAAAAATCGACAAACCAATCTATTGGTTAACCAACTGGTTTCGGTTTGGTTCTGGTTATCGGTTTTCTAAAAACCGGTACTACCGGTTCGATTCACAAAAAAGGCCCATGGTTTGGTTACCCGAACCATGAGCATCCCTAGTTTTGGCAAGCTGAGCTCAAATAACCAAGTATTTGGCTTGACTTTGCTCGGCTTGAATCTATTGGAAAGGCAATTTTAAGGGATGCACTTGGGAGATGCTATGTAGGATATAGTGAAATGACCGAGATACTCGAGGACAGGTGGGAAAGCTCACATAAATCTTTAAAATAAAACATTACCCTATCTTTGGTTAGAACCGAGATACTCGAGGACAGGTGAAATGACCGAGATACTCGAGGACCGATATAAACCTCCCATGTTTTGGTTAGAACAAGTAAAGTAGAAAATACTCTTATCACCAATAAAACATTACCCTACATAAATTTAAAATTCTAAATTTACCTTCTGCTACTTTACCTTGAACTTGCAACTTTAGAGAGAGAGTAAAAAGTTAAATTCAAACCATGCTTTTTAAAAACGACATGGTGACCGAACCGGTCAGGGGTCCGATCGTTAAACCCGATGGTCGGCCCGTTCTGACAAAAATAAAAAAATAAAAAAAAATAAAAAATGGTCAAAACTGTTCAAATGGTTCGAACGGTTAACCGCCTAGGTCAGCGGTTTGCTGACCAAAATCAACGATTTTGGGCAAATTTCTGGTTTTGGGAAAAATCAAAACCAATCACCTGACCGGTTCCCGGTTTTTACTGTCCGGTCCAGTTTTGAAAACCATGATACAAACTCTCTCACCATCCACAAGCTGCGGTGTGGATGGTGAGAGAAAATCACCCTTCTCTAATTTTATTTTCCCGGTTACCCCAGAGCGAAAGCCCAAGATTTGAAGGCAGAGATTGGAGGGCACATTGAGGATAAATTTCCAATATCCTAGATTTCTTCATTTCTTGCTTGACTCAACAACCAATCTCATTTTTCTTTGTTTCCTTTTTTATTGTTGATACTGAGCTCATGAGGTTTTCTTGTGGTCTTGATCATGGTGGCCTTCGTTCTCTCTTTGTTTAAAAGTCTCGTGGTTTTATTTTTGAGGTTAAACTGCAAGGTAAATCACCCTTCTCTAATTTTCATAACTGTGGTTCAATTCACTGTTTTGCATTGGTATCTTACTACTTGATTTAAATTTCCATACCTCGAATTTGTTTATTGTTCTCTGTTTCATGAGCATGATCTTATTTTTCACTTTTTTTTTTTTTTTTTTAATTTCTGTCGAAAAAAAAAGAGAAAATGATGACATTTGTGGTATTTAAGTTTAATTTTTCTCACCTACTTAGGTATTTACATTGCCGTCAATATATGTATCTTCTGCTGCTGGACGTGGACCTCCAAAGATGCATTGGAAATTAAAATTCAGCAGACACGTTGCTCGCCATTTTCTTGACTGTAAGCTTGACGTTCTGTATCCATGTCAAAGTGATGAGCACTGGTGTGAAATTCCACAACCTTTTCATTTGTCATCACAATATCACATATGTTCTTGTCAGATGGCAGTGAAGTAACAACAAACTAAGGTAAATATGAATGCCTGAAGAGCATTGGTTGGGCCACTATAGTTTCACTAAAACTAATAAAACAAACTTTGGTTTCTGGAAATCAAGAATTTTTAGTACACTCTTGAACGACTGTTCATGCATTTGGAAGCATTAATGGAAGAAGAGGAGAATCTTTCAGGTTAGAAGCTGTCTCTTTGGTCTCCTCAGAAGTCAGAACACCTCACGAAGACAAAGATGGTGGCCGGATTCAGTGGGGAGGATTTTTGTGTTTTGGGATACTCTCTCTTTTAAGTTGATTTTGCGGTTCAAGGAAACAAGCAGAACATGGGTAAGTGGTGCATTGAGGTTTATAGGAGTAGGGCACAAGAATACCACAACGCCGAAGCAAATGAAGTTTATGCTAGCTCACGGTGGTTCAGTTTCACCACCTTGTGTCAAGGGAAGAGGAAGGATTTAGTGGCGTTTGATAAATCTGAAAATTCAGATTTGAAAATATATTAAGTGTCTGAAATCTGAAAAGAGGCATAGATTCTTTTCTACTTTTTAGAGGATTTGAATCCATAATTTTGTTTGTGTTGGATTAACCCTTTACCATCTAAGATTTACTGATTTTACTATTTTACCCCTACAACATACTATTTGGAAATGTTGAATTTAGTTTGCAGTATCTCATAAAAAATAATTTTCAACCTCGTAATAATATTGAAACAATACAAATAAAAAATAATAATTTAATAATTACTAATTAATAAATGAGACGATTAAAATTAAAAAAAATTAATGACTATAAAAATATTAAAATAATTAATAATTTACACAAATAAAAATTAAAATAATTTTAAAATTAATGAAATAATTTAAAATTACTAGTTAATAAAAATAATTAATAATTAAAAAATAGCACAAGTAAATTTAATAAAAAATAATTAATGTTTAATAAAAAAATATTAAAATAATTAATAATTAATAAAAATATTATTATTATTCACCAAACCACCGCTATTGCATGGGAAGACAAGGGAGGGAGAGAGAGAGAGAGGCCGATTGGGGAGGGGTAGTTTTGACTTTTGGCAACGTCTGAAATGCATCTGAACGCATTAAGTGACTGGCCCTATTTCAGATGCAACACCAAACAAAGGTGGTGTCTGACAAGCAATATTTTCAGATTCAAACATCTGAAAAGTGCAATCAAACGCCACGGTTGATTATAAAGGGGTCTTGTGATTGAAGGAGAAATATAAAGAACGAGATTTTGTTATTTTGGGATGTTTTAGTAAATGTATATCTAAACAAAGATAGTTAAGGGTAAATCTAGTATTTAAAAAAAATAATGTATTACATCAGCGYTTACCGATAGAAATTAAACTAACAGAAGAGAAGAGAGGTAGTTGCACCATTTTTAAAAAAACTTACAGAAGGGATGTTTTTATTACTGTCAAGACATAGGGGAGGTTTATATATATGATTGTCAAAAAAACCTAGGGGAGATTTTTATGTTTTACCCTTCAATTTTTATTGGAAAAAACTGAAACAAAGGGTGAAAGGTTTCCTTGAAAAACTACAAACATGTGCACTAAGGTTATTCCATGAATAATGTATACAAATATTTACTTTGACGTAACATATTACAATCAATATATTGGACATTAATCAATTAAAATTTACATTTGTATGCAAAAATCACATAAATCCATTATATTTTAGGGTAAATTGCTGAGATTTTCCCAGAAGTTTCCGACTGTTGCTGAAACTTCCCATAAAGTTTGATAATTGTAATCACATTCGTTGAACTTTTTGACATAGTTGCAATTAGACTCCTTTTGTTAGAATCCACTAACAAAAGATGCAAAATTGTCTAAAACACCCATGCAATTACTATTGAGGCTGGTTTCTATAGACAAACAATAACAATAAAAAAAAACATTTAAAGTTGCAACTTTACATTTGAGTGATTGATATGAAGGGCAAATTTGGAAAATAAATCAATTTCAGAAAAAGAGATTGGAAGGGTTTGGGCTAGCAATTAATATGAAGAGAAAATTTGAAAAATAGACATTTTTTTGTGAAAAGTAACTACATGGGTATTTTGGACATTTCCATGTCTCTGTTAGAGGGTTTTTTCAAAGGGGGTCTACTTGCAACTGTCACAAAGTTCAGGGAAGGTGATTGCCATTATCAAACTTCAAGGGAGGTTTAAGCAACAACCAAAAACTTCCTATGAGGTTTTAGCAATTTACCCWTTATTTTATAAAATTTGTGGAAATAATACTGAAGATAATCTTACACATAATTAGACCAGTTCATGGGCCGGGCCAAGCTTTCACTCTTCATTAACAGATTTTTTTTAAGGTCCGAGCCTGAGCCTAGCCTGACCATCGGGCCTATAAATTGGGCCCGAGCCCGACCCTCATAAAAAGCCCAAATCTCGGGCCCGGGCCCAA